CCCCCCCCCCCCCCCCGGGACTGGCCCGGGCTCACCCTGGGAAGAGCTCCCACCCCACACACAGCACCCGGAGGACGCCCCGGGCTGACACATGGCTTCTGCAGACCCCAAATGCAGAACTTTCGTGCACTGGGTTGAACTGCGTCCCTTGACAACGTATGCCCACATCTGCACCCCCAGTACCTGTGAATGTGACATTATTTGGAAATAGGGTCTTTGTGGGTGTCATTAAGCTAAAGATCTCAGGATGAGGTCATCCTGGATTTAGGGCGGGGCCTCAATCCAATGACTAGCGTCCTCATAAGAAGGAAAGAGAGAGAGAAGAGGCCATGTGGAGAGGGAGACAGAGATTGGGCGACCAAGGCCTAAGCCAAGGGACATCAGGGGTTGCAGCGGCCGCCAGGAGCTAGGGAGAGGCCTGGAAAATATTAACCCCCCAGAGGGAACCAACCCTGACAACACCTTAATTCGGGGCTTCTGGCCTCCAGAACTGTAAGAGACTAAATTGTCTTAAGCCCCAGTTTGTGGTGCTTTGTTACAGCAGCCCCTGGAAACTCATACACATGGGTTGCTGGGATTTCACCCCCTCCCCCCAGCCTCAGCTGTCCCTTTCCTCTCTTCAACCTGCAGCCCCCCTTCCTCTCTCCAGCCCCTCTCTCCATGCCAAAGCCAAGCTGAGAGCTCTCAGGAGTCGCTGCCCACTCAGAGCCTCAGAGCCTCGCTCCCCGAAAGAAGTGAAAAGCCACTAAAAACTGCCAGCAGATGATGGATGGGGGTGAGGGTGGGGGCAGAGTTTGGGGGAAGGCGTGGACTTCCCACGTAGATGTGAAGGCAGGCAACAGGCAGGAGGGACCTCTGCAGGAGACCTGGCCGCTCCAGGGCGCAGGGATCCACAGCCTGGGCGTGGGTGGGGCGGGCCACACAGGGTCCCACAGGGGTAGAGGCCCAGGGAGTGTTATTGGCTGAGAACCCCAGCCCAGGGACCCACATCCCACTCTCTCACAAAACAGAGCCAGGACAGGACAAGGTGAAGAGAAAAATGGAGCCCCGGGGTGGGGGGACCCACACACCTGCTGCTCCCTCTCCCCCATCCCCCAGCCAAGGTGCGTGCCATAGCGGTGGGCCTCGAGCGCTCCCCTTCGGCTTTCCTTCCCAGGAGGATGGGAACGGGGGAGGATCCCCTGTTAGCCGGGTCGGCCCCCTGCCTGCCTGGTCCCTCCCCCTCCCCCCGGAGCTGGGAGCAGGCCACACCCGGCTGGGAGCTGTCCGCGGTGCTGACGGGCGTGGGCCCCGCTGGGCCAGAGAGGGAGGCCCAAATCGGCTCCGAGATGACGATGCAACACTTGCACCCTGGGGTGTGGATGGTGACGCGCGCTTGGAGAGGGGAGCACTGTCCTGGTACGGAGAACGCCATGGCCCTTCGGTTCTGCGTGTAGACAAAGGGCAGTTTCCGTGGAAGTGGTGAGGGCCGATGGTTGACACTTTCGGGCCTCTGAGACCATGGGGAGACGCAGGGACTCACCCTCCTCCTTGTCAGGGAGAGCCTGGGACGCTGTGGGCACGGAAGGGGGGCCGTGCCAGGGGTAAGGGCTGCGTCTGTCGGTGCAGGGCAGCTGCGAGGCCCCCACTTACCCCTCGTGTCCCTTGCAGAGAAAGAAGAGCGTGCGCCAGGCGTGCGCCGCGGCGAGCAGCAGCGAGAGGAGGCTGGCCAGCAGGCTGAAGCGGCAGGCGGCCGGCGGGCCCCACTCCTGCACGGTGAAGCGCTCGCCCTCCTGCGCCGTCAGGTTGGCGCTCAGCCACATGCCCTCGGTGAAGAGCAGGCAGCGGCCGCGGAAGTCGTGGCCATTCTCGGACAGCGGCACCACCACCACGAAGCTGAACAGAAAGGCCAGGAAGTAGCAGACGCACTGCGCGAAGAGGAAATTGTTGAGCGCCATGGCGGGGCCCGGCGGGCCGACCAAGCGGCCGGAGGTGGC